GAAAGGTCGCGAGAGGCTCGAAGATTTCAGCAACAAGACGCATTTCCCAGCTTCTCTGACGCTCGGCACATGCGCCCACAAGAAGACGAAGGTGCTGAAGGTGCCGAAACCGCCCCCCCCCAAGAGATGCCCGTGGGCCCCGCGCCGCCGCCCCAGGACTGGGTTCAGTTTTCGCGCAAGTTTGAACAGCTGCGACGGTGGCCCTCGGGCAACGGGCCCCCCTGTTGAAGGGGGGGGCGTGCGACGCCGTGGGGCAGGGGCCCTGCGACGTTCTAGGCATCGAGGCCCAGGAGCGTTCTGAGCACTGTGGGAGAGGCATTGAGTTCCAGGTGGTCGAGAAGCTGATTTTGGGGCAGCACGTCAAAGGCCCTTTTCCCGAATGCAGCCTAGAGTCCACGGCCCCCAGAAGGCCCCAGGCATGGGAGGAGGAGCTGCCGTATTTTTATGGGCGAGAAATTCCGTGGGATTCGACGGAGGTCCAGGACCTGGCCAGGGAATTCTCAGCTCCGCTCAAGGCTCTTGAACGCATCCCCGAGTGGAATTGGCCTACGATGGGCTTCCAGATGCGCGCCGGCATCTCCCTCGAAGAGTTGCAGGGCGCTCTGGCGGCCGATCGGGCCATTTCAGACGGGCGGGCCGAGCGCGAAGGCCAGGAATATTCAGCAGCGGAGGCAGTGGGTCTCACAAAATCTCATGCACGAGGAGGGGGAGTTTTCAGGTGGACCAAGGAACCCCAGGGTTGGGCCCCTGACGGGGCCTCACCCGAGGTACTCGCCCGCTCGCCATCACTTTGCGTGTCAGCCTGGCGCGTTGCGCCCAGTCGGGCCCGTGCCGGGTCAACCTGGCGCCCTTCCTCGCACAGGTACGTGGTGACGCGCGCCATTTTGGCCGCGTCGCGGCTATGCCGCTTCCCCGCACTCGTGCGTGCTGCTGCCTTGGGTCCTCTCGGTTCCGCCACCCTAGGAGTTGCAGCCTGCCAACGCTCTCGCGTCCCAGCGACAATTCCTTTGCCGACGGTCCTTTGGGCCACCCTGGTTCTCGCGCTTCGCCGACGTCTGGGGCATCGCCTTTGCATTTCTCTTTCCTGCCTCGACCGACGGTTCGTTGGCCACGGCCACCCTGGTGTCCACGCCGTCGTCTGAGGTACGGTGTCGAGTTGTCCCTGGCCGTCGTTGACTTTCCGACGCTTGGCGCATCCGACGGACTTGCATTTTGCGCGCTGGCAGTTCCCCTCAGTCTCAGTTTCGGTCGGCGCTTAGCTGTCGCCTGGCGCGCTGCTGTGCTCTATGTTTCCCGCGTTTCCTCTGCCTAATTAGTCTCTGCGGAGCCCGTTTTGACCTGACTCGCCGCCGGCGCGCTCGCCCGCGGCCGCTGACTAAAAAAATATCCCCACCAGCAATTCGTCTCTTGCGCGGCCCGCTCGGGTCTCACTCGCCGCTGGCGCCCTCGCCTGCGGTTGCGACAAAAAGTATCCCCACCAACCCAGTCAGAAGACCTGCCCGCGAGAGCTGACGGGAAAAGAGGCGAAGGGACACATTTAGGGAAACACAGCGAGCAACCAGGATGAACCGAGAGATCTCTGGGAACAAGGGGGTGGCCAGGTGGCCTTGGAAGGCCTCTTCGGTCCATCCCTGGGGGCCGCGTGGGGGCGAGGGGAAGAGGAGGAGGAGGAGGAGGAGGAGGAGGAGGAGGAGGAGGAGAGGAGGAGGAGGAGGAGGAGGAGGAGGAGGAGGAGGAGGGAGGAGGAGGAGGAGGAGGAGGAGGAGGAGGAGGAGGAGGAGGAGGAGGAGGAGGAGGAGGAGGAGGAGGAGGAGGAGGAGGAGGAGGAGGAGGAGGAGGAGGAGGAGGAGGAGGAGGAGGAGGAGGAGGAGGAGGAGGAGGAGGAGGAGGAGGGAGGAGAGGAGGAGGAGGGAGGAGGAGGAGGAGGAGGAGGAGGAGGAGGAGGAGGAGGAGAGGAGAGGGAGAGGGGGCCTCTTGGGGCACTCTTGGGGCCTCCTGGGAGCTTCCTGGGGGCCTCTTGGAGGGTTTTTGGTGGCCTTTGGGAGCTTTGGGGGCCTCTTCGGCCGTCTGAGGGCATTCCTGGCTTGTCTGGCGCCGTCGGAAGCCGTCTTTGGGGCCTGTCTGGGTCGTTTTGGGCCCTCTTGGGGCAGACCAGCCGCTTTTAGAGGCCATCTTGGAGTCTTGAAGGCCTCTTGGGCCGTTTTTGGGTCCTCTTGGGGCCGTCTTGGGTGCCTTTTGGGCCGTCATGGGCCATCTTGGAGGCCTCGTGGGCGATTTTGGGGGCCTCCTGCGCCGTCTTGAGCCGTCGGAATGCCGAGAAGAAGCACATGCCAAAGTCTGTCAAACACCTAAGGCAAATCAATGATTGTGGCCTCTTCGTGCCCTCCTGGAAGACCTCCTGGACGCCTTTTTGGGCCGTCTCGGAGGCCTCTTGGGTTCCTCTTGGGCCGTCTGAGGCCATCTCGAGGCCATCTCAGGCCGTCTTGGGTGCATCTTGGGCCGTCTTGGAGGCATCCTGGGGCCATCTTAGCCGTCTTGAAGGCCATTTTGGCTTTCTTGAAGGCCTCTTGGGCCCTCTTGACCGTCTTGGGGGCCTCTTGGGCCGTCATGGGCCATCTTGGAGGCCTCGTGGGCGATCTTGGGGGCCTCTTGGGCCGTCTTGAGCCGTCGGAATGCCGAGAAGAAGCAAATGCCCAAATCTTTCACACACCTAGGGACAATGTATGATTTTGGCCTGTTCGGGCTCGCCTGGCGGACCTTTTGGAGGCCTCTTGGGCCGTCTTGGGGGCCTCTTGGGGGCCTCTTGGGCCGTCTTAGGCCATCTAGAGGCCATCTCAGGCCGTCTTGGGTGCATTTTGGGTCCTATTGGAGGCATCTTGGGGCCATCTCAGCCGTCTTGGGGGCCATCTCAGCCGTCTTGGAGGCCTCTGGGGCCGTCTTGGGGCCCTCCTGGGGCCCTCTTGGGGCTCTCTTGGGGCCCTCTTGGAAGCCCTGGAAGGCCATCTGGAATGCCATCGATCAAAGGAGAGATGGGGCGACGTTTCCCCCCCCCCCCCCCCCCCCCCCCCCCCCCCCCCCCCTCCCCCCCCTCCCCCCCGAAGAGGCCCAAATGGGGCTCAAACCTTAGTACAACAAATGATTTTAGCTCCCAGAGGGCTGGGATGGTGGGATAACGTTCAGTCCCCCCCCAAAGAAGCCAAAATGTGTCAAAACCTTAGCAAAACCAATGCTTGGGCGCCCAGAGGGCTGGTCGCCCAACGTTCGGTCCCCCTCAAAAGAGGCCAAAATGGGGCCAAAACCTTGGTAAAACAAATGATTTTGGCTTCCTCGCCGAGGCCGTTTTGGACGCCCTGACACTTCGCGGGGGGGGGGGCGAAAAAGTCAAGGGGAGGGGTACAGGGAGGGGTCAAGCTAGCCAGCTCGAGCGAGTCAAGCATGGCATGCCCATTCCCACCCGCCCTCCCACAACATAAGAAACAGTGATGGCACAACTGGGGGCTGCGCGGGCATTTCAGTGTCGCAGGTCCCAGAGCGCTGCCTTCCAGGTCCCAGAGCGCCCCAGGAACGCCCCAAGAGAGCCGAGACGCCCCCGAGACGATCCGAGGGGCCTTGAGTCGCCGAAAGATCGTTCCAAGACGCCCAAGATGGCCTCCAGACGGCCGCAGACGCCGCCAAGAAACCGCGGGGAGCCTCTCGAGGCCCTCCAAGAGCCTGAACAAGCAAAAACCTCCCAGGCATTCGTCACCCCAGGGCCTCCTGGAACGCCCCGGCGCCCAAAGAATTGGCGAGCTAGAAACGTGCGCCGAGCCAAAGCGGGAGCGCAACTTTGAGAAAATGCCGCTCGGCGCCCAAGCGGGAAGGTCATTTCATTCACTTCGAGCGGGGGGGGAGGGGGGTGTGCCGCGCCCAATTCTTGCCATGCACATTTGCGGGGTGGACGACAAGAACAGCTATGCGGGCAGGGAAAATCAGCATGGCATTCCTTCTGACAAGTAAGGTGGTCCCTCCCGCCTTGGGGTTGCCCCAGAAGCCCGCGCGCGCTGCGCGCCGCGCCCCATTCCTGCCACGCATTTCGCATCGTCGAGGACAAGACAGGCCATGATGAAACGAAAAACGGCAACTCGGTATTGTTTTTTTTACAATCCGGATGGGAGGGCCCGCAGCCCGCATGGACGTCCGCGCGCGATGCGCGCCGCGTCCCATTCCTGCCACATATTTCGCACCGTCGGCGACAAGGGAGGCCATCTGAGAGGAAATAACGGAGACTTTGTATTGATTTTTAACAGTCAGGATGGGCGGGCCCAGATTGACGGCCGCGCGCGCGATGTGCGCCGCGTCCCATATGTGCGCCGCGTCCCACTGCTGCCACATATTTCGCACCGTCGGCGACAAGGCGGGCCTTGCACCGTCGGCGACAAGGCAGGCCATGCTGACATGAAAAAACGAAGACGTTGTATTGATTTTTTACAGTCAGGATGGGCGGGCCCAGATTGACTGCCGCGCGCGATGTGCGCCGCGTCCCATTCCGGCCACGCTTTTCGCATCGTCGACGACAGGAAAGACGATGTTGAGAAGAAAAAGCGGCAACTTTGTATTGATTTTTTTTAGTCCGGATGGGAGGTCCCGGATTGGGTCGCTATCGGCCGGAATACGACGTAGGTGGGGGTATATTCTAATAAGGAACAAGGATACACCCCTCCCCGTAGGGGCAGAGGGGTGTTTTGGAAGAGGGAAGAGGAATCTCGTTAGACCACCTGTCGCCCAAAGGGCTGGTGGGATGATTGTAATATAGACTGAGATTTGGGCCCCTTCCCCTGGTCAGCGGGTTGCGCACAGGCAGAGAGCGCCGCCTGGTAGCCCCGGCTGGCCTCAGCAGGCCTCCCGAGTTGCCTGGGGCGGTCTCAACGCCCTCAGCGCCGCCGGAGGCGACGCCGGGCCTGTTGAGACCGCCCCCGGCTTCTCGGGGGGGGTCAGGCCGGCTCAGACTGCCTGGGGGGGCTTAGACATTGCCTCCAGGGAGGGGGCGGGCATGGCGGCCGCGGGGGCCGTGCTGGTGCGCTCCCCGCAGCTGTCGCAGCTGGCGTCCGTGACGCCCGGGCACGGCCCCAGCGCCTGCCGGCTGGAGCTGAGGCCGGAGGCGGCTGACTGCTCCGAGCTCGACTTAGCCGACGCGTTCGCAGTCTGCCGGCCCCAGGAATCCCCTGCTCCCGACCTCCAGAGAGGGACGTTGAGATCTGGGCTTTGTAGATGCTCCACACCGCATGGTTTCGCCTGTTGTTTGGCCCCTAAGAACAATCACAGATCGATCCGGCTCGAAAGATGTTCTATATGATTACTGTACTCGCGGTGTTGTGATTGTTCCGCGAAGCCTGATCTCAGGGGAGGACGAGGAGGAGGAGGGGGAGGAGGAGGAGGAAGAGGAGGAGGAGGAGGAGGAGGAGGAAGAGGTCCGTTGCCATTTTGGTTCAAGTCGTCGCCGTCTGCGGACGCCCCCGCATTCGGGAGGTCCCACCGAGGGGGCACCGAAGTGTCCCCACAGGTGCCGCCAAAGCAGGGGCCACGATCTTTTCGTCACAGCGCACTGTTTTTGAAGAGTCGCCCTTCGGCTGCCCGCGATGTCCCATGGCACGTCCGCCTCGCAAGCCTCAGCTCCTGCGGCAGAGCCCAAGGATGCTCCGACTTTCCCTGATACTGGTGATCACGAGTGTCCTCCTAAGTCTGCTCGTTCAGGTACGTCGCCCGAAGAGTTTCGCAACCTCATCGAGAACACGAAGCAGACGATGGGTGGACATATCAAGGCCCTGCAAGGGCAGATGGCTGCCTTCTCCCAGTTCGGCACGATTTCCAACACTGTCACCTGGTCCTTTGTGAAGGTCCAGGCCCAGATGGAGACCAGAGTATCCAAGGTGGAGCACAACCTCAAGCAGAACACCGCAAGTTTTCGAGCCCTACAAGGAGATGTTCAGCAGATGCGAACGGTACTTGGTGACATCCGTGATGAACGTTTTTTGCCCAAGTCCGCGGACCCCAGCTTCAGGAAGGATATCGACGCAACCATCATGGCGATCCGCACGATAAACGCCATGGCGCAGCAAGCCATTATGCAATCGCTCGCTCCCTGGATGGAACGCAACACTACCGGCCCTGAGAATATCACCCTGGAAGGAGAACCAGCTGGTCACGGTTCACTCTTCGCGACGGAGTTGCCAAACCCTTTGTTGAGAGAAAGGTGCTGCAGCTGCTTGGGACACTCAAGAGAGCCAGCGGGGTTTTCGAACCCCCCTTAGATATCTACGTGTCTAACGACAAAACCCCCGAGATGGTCGAGACGGGGCTCGGCCTCAAAAAGGCCAGTGCAGTGTTCAACGAGTTGCACCCGAACTTCAGGCTGTTCGGGGACAAGGCCAAAGGGAAACTCAGTCATAGGTGGAAGCCCGTTTTCAGGACCGAGCCCCGCCCAGGAAATGCAGAACCATTCACTACGCCGCCAAGAATTTGGCTGCAGCAGGTGTCGATGTGGCGCGTATATGTGCAGCTCTCTCTCTCTCTCGTGCACTTGCGAACCCCACTGTGGCTACGACGTGGTGCCTTTAGCCTTTTCTTCGCGCTGTGGCGCGGACATGAGAATTGGAAACTATCTCTGACTACGTGGAACTCGATTCTTCTTCCATCATGTCTTACGCCTCTGTGATTTGAAGTTTCGCCGCCTCCGCTCCCATCTCCGCCCTGGTACCACCCTTGCTCTTCAGGAGAGTCATGGGTCATCAGTTGAAGTGCAGGAGTTGTTGTGCCACATGCGCAAAGATGTCGCAACCACGCTTACTTGTTGCTGCTCGTCTCAGGCTGGGGACGCAATTACTTCATGCCCGAGCTTCTCCAACCTTGGCGAGAACGCGCCGGCTAGCATTCCCCGGGCTGTGGTCCAGAGGAGGGTCGTCAATGTGCGCATTGAGTTCTCCAGGGGCCTAAGGGCTCGCCGTTGCAACGGTCCCAATTTTGGGCTTGCAGCTGAAACAAAACAGGAGATCAGCGAGTCGATCCTCAGGGACCTCGAGTTTGCTAAGCACTCTCCAGAGACGTGCTTGGTCGTGGTGGCTGGCGATTTCATCTTTGCCGACGTCCCACCGCGTCGCGCGGGAGCAGTCGTTGCGCCCCCTTGCCCCGGGCCTTCGGGCCAGGAATCACTGCGTGCTCTCGGACATGTCAGGGGATATCGCAAGGGGCAAAAGGGGGGATGGATGAAAAACTCTGGGACATGGCGAAAATGCGGGTTGCCGATCCGACTCACTATCACAAGAAGCGCCGACTGCTCGCCTCAATAGATAGGACGTTTGTGAGTTTCCCTGGTTGGACCCTGATCCACTTCTCGATCGTTGGCGAGGTCGCCGACTTCCCAGAGGTGCTGCACAAACGAGGCATCAGCGATCACGCACATGTCGTCGCTTCAACCTCTAGCAGCTTCCCCAGCCGAGCCCGAACGAGTACCATAGTATACCGGGAGACGCGTGTACCCACCCCCGGTTCAGTGATGTCTTGGAGAAAGTTCTGGAAGAGTGTAACCTGGGCGAGCGTTCGCCCCCCCTGGCCGTGGAGTTCGCTGAAAAAAAAAGATGTGGGGGGCTGCCAGAGTTGCCAGGGATGCTATGCTGCGGGGCTCGCCTGAAAGCTTATCATCCCAGTTCATCGCGGTTTAAGGTATCGCTCGAGCTGTCTGGAATCAGGATGTGGTTTTGGTTGCGAAAATCAAGTCGGTGTCCGGGTTCGGTGGGCCCCTCCTCCGCGTCGACGCGGTGCGCAGGGCGATTGAGCCCAGTGATCCCAGCGCTTTGGTGCCGCATCTGAACAGATAACCGATCCATGGTCCAGCGAAGCGAAGCCATGACGAAGCGCGAGACATCGACGACGCATCGCGACGGCGCGAAGCAAGTTGCGACGACGACTTCGCGGACCGATGATGCGGGGCAAACTCTGGGCGCCATGTGGGAGATGCATGACGCCGTAAGGAGCCAGAGCTGCTGGCGGGGATGCTGCTCATCGCCAGTCCGACGAAGTGCCGCGGAAGCTCTGGTTGCGCTGGGGCGCAGTTTTCGGCGCCCAGGAACATATCAACGGCGAGAAGGTTGACAGGTCTTTGGCCCCATTCGGGCCCCAGGTGCGCCTCGAGGACCTCCCGCCACCCACCCTGCGGGACACCCAGAGGTGCCTCGAACAGGCTGAGAACGGCGCCCCGGGCCCTGATCGGCTTACCTACTCTGCCTAGGCCCAGAATCCATTGGGGGCCGCTGTGCTTGATGGGGTTCTCTGATCGCTGGTGGATTCTTCGCCTTCGTTCAATGATATCCGAGGGGCTTTCTTGGCTACGCTAGGGGGCGGGGGGGGATGCAAGGGGGCCATGCGAGGGGCAGGAGGTGCGCGGCCCCTCGGGCTGAAACAGACGTCTAACAAAGCACTGGCAGGAGTTGCGATTTCCCACCTGAGCCGTCGGCCCCATGAATTCATCGACTGCGAGGATTCGTGCGAGGACGAAATTTCGGAGTCAGTATCTTAGACTTAGATGCGAGCTCGCATGGCCAGCATGCAGCCGCCCGCAGCATTGACATGCCCAGCCTTGCGTGCATTTGATTACGGCCAAGCCTCCCCATCAGTGGCTCATGATTGGACGTTTAAGACAATTTGAATGCATCCAGCTGCCGCTGCCCTTGTTGATCTTCCTCATATGCAGATGATGGCGCGCTGTGCTTTGGGCGCTTCCAGCAACAATCCCGTCTTCTCTTCCTGGTCCGGCCGGCCTGGCATCCTGCAAGGCTGCCCGGCGCCTAGAGCGACACGCGCGACGCGCTGCAACCCCTTTCCTCGGATAACTTCGAAGTTTTAGCCGATCGCCCGCCTGAGCGATCCATCGCTGCAGTTGCAGCCTGCGCAGATGGCGCGGGGGCCGCCCTCGCTGCCCCCCGACAATGGCTGCTCGCGAAGCGCGCGTTCGACACGTCTGATCTACGTCTGATGCCCAGTAGATGTTCTAGTGTGCCTCTGTCTGGTAAAATCAATGAATCTGTTAGACGCATGTGCAGGACCTGGCGAATTCAGAATATTCCAGAACTGGCCGGCTTTCAAATAGTGGGGCCAGTCGCGTACCTCGGGCTGATCTTGGGACCTGGGGCTTCCACGGAGGCTCGACATCTGCCCGTCCAGACATGGGCCTCCCGGGCGTTCCAGATTGCCAGAGGTGGTAGCCCCACTGTTGTAACTGAATATATGTGCACGCAGTGTGCCACATCTGTCTTATCGCGTGACGCTGAGTTCGCTGCTCTCCCCGTTGCCATTCCTGGTGCCCCTTCTATCCGCCGTCTCGAGCATGCAGCCCTTGCCTGTCTGATAGCCTTCCCCAGCTGCGCCCCCTTTCAATCGTCTCTTGTGGAGCTCAGACTTTGGCGCGGACCGAGATTCGAGAGCTTTGAAGCCTCCTGTGCTGCAGCGCTTATCCGCTCCGCGCTGTGCGCCCTGCCCTAATGGCAGCCTCTTTTAGCGATGTTTTCCTCTGAAGCTGAACGGTGCTTATCTCTGCAGGAGCTCGGCACGCAACGTGAATGCCATGAGTGTTGGAGAGCCCCTGCATCTGTAGAGTAATTCAGTAAGGCCTCGAGGAGGTTCCCGAGCAGTGAGTAATATAAGACGGCTGGCGCTGCTGCGGTTTCGACAGCGAAGCGCGCACTCCGTGACCAACGGCAGAGCAGACGTCCCAAGGTCCACAGCGGCGTCCTCGCCGAGTTTTCCCGCATTTTGTTTTCCGATTCTCTGGCCACAGTCTGGAGGGTCAGGCTGCTAGGATATTTCCTTGATCGTCACAGAGCCATTGCCTCAGCGTGCTGGGATGCCGTCAAACTTGAGACTTCGAAGCTCCCCCCAGCCACGAGAATTGTGAAATCACCACATTCCGAATGCATGATAACATACTTCGGCCCTTTTGTCTGAGGTGCCAAGGAGCCCCTGGTGCCTTTCTCCATTGTTGGAGGTACCCACATCTTTTGGCCTTGGTCAGAGACATCCGACCTCGCTGCCAGTCCTGATTGTCCCATCCGACGGCTCGGCCTCCTGTCCCCCTCGGACTCTTCGCTCATGTTGCCCGTGCGCGCCCATTCGTCGTGCATCCCAGCTCTCACTTCCGCAGAGACTGCGGCCAACACGGCCTCTTCCATCAGAGCAGCACCGGCACGGCGTCCAGCGGCGCGGCGTGGCGGCCGTGGTGGACGACGAGACTCGACGCGCCAGCGACGTGCCCAGGAGGAGGAGGAGGACAAATAAAAAGAGGGAAAGGAAGAGCAGGAGGAGGAAGAGGAAAAAGAGGAGGAGGAAGAGGAGGAATAATAATAACAACAATAATAAGAATCGGAGGAGGAGGAGGAGGAGGAAGAGGAGGAGGAGGAGGAGGACGAAGAGGAGGAGGAGGAGGAGGAGGAGGAATAATAATACGAGGAGGAGGAGGACGAAGAGGAGGAGGAGGAGGAGGAACAGGAGGAGGAGGAGGAGTAAACAGGAGGAGTTCGACCACGAATAGCAGAAGCAGGAACTGGAGTGGAAAAAGTGGGGGAAGCAGGGGGACCAGGGGAAGGCGGAGGAGTGGAAAATGGGGGGCGGCACCGATGAAAAAGGAGTCGGATGCACAAACATGGCCCGCGCTGGAGCGAACACGCCGTTTTGACCGACGGGAGTGCAGCGCCGATCGAACAATGAGGCCCACGCTGCAGCGAAACCACAATTTGTGACACACCATGAGCAATCGCACCGCAAGAAAGCATAGGACACAACATGTCTGCACAATCCTATTATGTGTACAACAGCAGGACGCGGAGGGAGGCCAGAGATCTTTTGGACAGGGTCAGAGAGTAAAGTTGTATATTCTGTAATTGCGAAAGAGGAGGAGGAAGAGGAGGAAAACAAGGAGGAGGAGGAGGAGGAGGAGGAGGAGGACCAGGAGGGAGGAGGTAGGGAGGAGGAGGAAGGATGAGGGAAGAGAAGGGAGGAGGGAGGACGAGGGGGAGGAGGAGGAGCAGGACGAGGAGGAGGAAAAGGGACTTCCCCCCCTGCCAGGGACACCGGGGGCCTCGGCAGCGCACGGGTGCAGGGTTCAAAGGGGCCTCGGCCACCCCCCCCGCGCAGGACCCCGCCCAGCTGGCGCAGCTGCGGCAGGAGGTGACGCTGCCCAGGAAGGATACGGTCGTGAATTTTTGGATCGCGTGTCGCTCCGCCAGTTCTGGCCTCCCCGCGCATCGATGTTACACACTGTCCATTTCGCGGTCCCGCGGCGTCCACGTCTCGAGTTTTTCGGAGCTTCCCGTCCCGCGGGGCGGAGCGAAACGCTATCTACTCGCAAGGCATAGCGTGTCGCAAGGGCTGCCGCGGCGACACGCTATTCAAAAATTCCAGGCCGTACTCACACAACAACAATCTACCAGTCAGGAGCGCCAGCTTAGCGTGCAATTGATTTGCATGGAAGTGGGTGCGTGGCGATGCCTGGGAGGAAATTTAGATTTCACGCAAGTCGGGGCTCACGCCTTTTCGGCCCAGCGTTTCTTGAAAAGGCGGCGGAGAAGCCGGCTGGCGGCAGGGGGGAATACCATGCAAGTGAGTTTGTTTGAGTCTATTGTCTAGATTTTTGCTTAGCCAGTTCTGGCCAACCGCGCTTCGGCGTGACGCGCTATCCACGTCCCGTCAGCGTCCCGAGCCTTTCCCGGCCTCCCGTCCCGCGAAGCGAAGCGCCTTATCCGCTGAGCATGTCGCCGGGGTCACCGCCGCGACACGCTAAGCAAAAGTCCTTGACTGGCGGCTTCCTACAGGGGGTACGAGTAGATGGGGTCAAAGGATCGTTCCGCATCGGCGATGCATCGGCGATGCGGCTCGACGTGGAGCCCAATTTTTTTCACGCCGACGTCGCCGATGCATTGCGGACGTCGCCGATGCTTTGGCGATGCGGCGCGATCCTTCGACACCATCTACTCGGACCCCCTTTGGGGGGCCTCTCATCGCCCACGCAGGAGAATCATTCAACAACAACCCCAGAGATCCAGGCGCTCCATTTTTGTTCGTATTGGACGTTTTCGCTCAGTTTCGCCCCCCAGGACCATCACAGATCGATCGGCTCGACACATGCCGTAGAGAGATTGTGTCTAGGGCTCCAGTAGTGATCTTTCTCGATTCTGCAGTTTTATCTCAATGCCGGGTCTGCGGGGCAGATTTTGCGAGGGAAGGCGATCCTGAGGCTTTTCGCCGTTTCGTTCCCAGCCGTTGGGGGTCCTTGCCCTGTGCCCCTCAAACAGGCCGGTCATAGATTGCCCTGGGCAAGGAGGCCCCGGTGTCCAGGACCGGGTTGGGCGACAGAGGGAGACAGGGGAGGTCGATATTATAGGACGCCTCCGGCGCAAGGAGGCACGGGGAGAACCAGCTACAAACGGCGCGAGGGTTCAGAACATCCTCGACGTTGGCCCCCCTTATGCTCTTCATGGTTGGGCGTTCCACCTGGGGACGTCATTGGTTATGCGGAATGTCCATAGGGGCCTTGGTCCCTCGTCGAAGGGGCCCATGTTCTTGACCCACCTTCTGAGGACCTCCTCTCGACTGTACGTGAGCAGATTCGCTACCCCCCCGTGCATCACCCTCCTCTCGTCCGACCAGGCAGGATCCCGTTTCCCTCAGGGTCCCCTTTCCCTCGATTGCACGCAAGAGTGACCCTTCGCCAGAGTGGCCTGCGGCGCAGGCCCACTGGGCCCCCCGCGCCCCAGCCAAAGCCGCGCACCGAGGGTCTCGCTTGCCCGGGGTCACGCCTGCGTGCACGCAGCCGATTCCCGCATGCGCAGGTGGTGTCGTCCATGGTGGGCCTGGCGGGTGGCAGGAGCACCGGATGGCCTCCCCGGGGTTGGCAGAACAACGACGGCGCGACGACGCTTAATCGTACCTCGGAAGCCTCTAGCGGGCCCCCTCGCCTCCACGACCGGGCGCTGTTCCGAAAGCAGGCCAAGATGGCCGCCCCCCCCCCCCCCGGGGGAGGATCCAGGTGCTGGCTGGTCTTGAGCAGAGCTTGGTTCGGGGCCCTTCCCCCGCCCCCCCTGCCTCTTGCTATGGGTTTTTCAATAGTTTCACTTCTTGGGCCATCCTGGAGGTCATCCGAGATCGCTCCGAAAAGATGCCTTACAAGAGCTCTTGGCGCATCCCACTTTTTCGAGGATGTCTCAAGCGAAACGCCCATGCTGGTGGAGCCGGCTCTGGATTTGATCCTCGTCTTCATGATCTCCATCACCCTCATGCTCCTGCTCTCCTCCTCGTCCCATTCCCCCACCTCTCCGTCCTTAACGGTGGTCGGAGGGTTGCTCTGCCTCCATTTCCTTAGGAAAAGGAGAGATGGAGGATGGAGTAAAGGAGGAGGGAGGAGAAGCAGGAGGATGATAATAATAACAGAGCGTGAGCAAAAGTAATCAGGACAGAAGAGAACCATGAGGGGGGAAGGAGAAGAAGAGGATGGAAGAGAGCGAGGAGGGGGGGACGGCGGAGGGCCCTCGAAACCATCTCGTTTCCTCCTCCTCCTCCACCTCCTCCTACTCATTCTCCTTCTCCTCCTCCTTCACCTCCTTCCCCTCCTCCTCTTCCTCCTCCTCCTTCTGTTCCTCCTCCTCCTCCTCGTCATCTTCCTCCTCCTCTTTCTCGCCTTCTTTCTCCGTCTGCTTCCTCCTCCTCCTCCTCGTCGGTCTCCTCCTCCTCTTCCTCCTCCTCCTCATCTTTCTCCTACTCCTCTTGTTCGTCCTCCTCCGATACTCAAGCCCAGCCTCACGATACATATCAGAATGACCAGGCTGAGCACCCCGTCTTTTTTTTGGGCAATGATCTGTGGCACTCTTGTGCACCAGGCTGGTCGCAGGCGCACCATGCAGCTTCAATCAAGGAATGTTTGGCTTTCGAGGTCGACCCCAAGGCTGTCGCCGACGTGGGGAACTAGTACGCCAAGTGGGCCACCAACCTTGAGGAGTTCTACATCCAGGGCCACAACATCCCCATGGAGAAGAGTCGGTCTCACAGAGGACGCGCTAGGGCGAGACCGTTTCGGTTCGCACCCATCAAAGGGGGCCAAGGATTATCATATTCAGACCGACCCAGCTGTCAAATGGTGGACCCAACTCGTTCCTCATCTTCAGGAACTGGTGCGAGCGGATGGAGATGGAAGTAGAGAGCGGTTGCTAGTTGCACGCGTCAGGGAGATGATCGCCACTATACCTACATCTACTGCTCTTCCCTTGTCAGCCTCTTCTCGGTGCAAATTGAGTGGTATCTTGCACAAAATACAGGATTGCGATCTGGCGCAGAGGAAGAGTCTGCTGCAAACGGTTGAGAACAATGCAGCACGTGCACAGCGTTTCTCAACCACGGCAGCGCGAAGAGATGTTGATGCATGGGTTATTTCGGCGTCTTCGACTTCACCTGGCAGGCTGTATGATTTTATCAGACATCCCGCAGTCACCAGCAACGAGATCGCTGCAGCGCAGAATGTGATCACCAACCCGCTAGAAATCATGAAGGTCAGAAAGGAATGGTTGCAGCAACAATGGGCTAGTACTCGATTTGTTCCAGCCAGAGTTGTCGATGCCTACCACCGCGTGCAGAGGAAGACAAAGGACACCGACCTAGAGCCCATCTCCGCGGAATCTCTTAGGAGGATCCTTATGAGTATTTTTCTTACGAAAGCTAGAGGATGCGAAGCTCTCAGCATCAACGACCTACGCCGGCTTCCTGATGGTGGGCTCCAAGATCTCATTAATTTGCACCATCAAGTGGAGCAGCGAGTTCCATGGCCTTGGCAGCTTCTGGCGGTCTTTATCAGTCTCTTGCCTAAGTCGACGGAAGGATCTCATTCACATGGAAGTCTTTTGGGACCTCGAGGCTTTCTATGACTCCCTGAACTGGCTGTGCCTCATGGGCTCGGCAGACGATCTTGACTTTTCCCCGCGCGCCCTTACCCTCACCATGCAGTAGTGTTTCGCTCCCCGCATCCTCAAGGAGTCGGGGAATTTCTCGTACCCGATTCAGCCGCAATGTGCAATGGTGGCGGGCTTGCGTTCTGCAGTGGGTCTTTCAAGATGTAGTCGTTATCGCACGCTGGAGAGAATGCTCAGTTCTTTCAGACCAGTCACAGTCAGGTCGTAGGTGGGTGCTTTGAATGCGAGAATAGTTGCACCAGAGAAGTTTGCGGTCAAGCAGCTCGTTGGTGTTTCTACATTGCTATCGGAGTCGCGCAAGAAGCTGGACCTCACCATCTCACCCAAGTCAGTCATCTTCAGCTCCAGCAAGGCGGCGGGCTTGCTGCTCGAGTCCAGGCTGAAGACTCTCGGCGGCAAGGTCCTGCTCAAGGAGGTGACCGTGGATCTTGGCATCGATCGAGCGCGTATTCCAGGAGGCAAGGCTTGGCGCAACAAGAGAGCTGAAAAGGCGCGGCTCAGGTTCACCAAGATTGCCAATATTCCCCGAGGAAGGTTGGCCCACAAGAGGATTGCTTTGCGTTTGGCGACCACGGCTGCCATACCGTGTGTTTCCTACGCTGGCAAAGTTGACGGTACTCCACTTACAGTGCTGCTGCAGTGGCGGCGTACAGTGGGAGGCTGCCTGAAGCGTGCCACTGCGCAGAGGTCGCTGACAATTCAGCCTCAGTTGGACATGGGGCGCAAGGATCCAGCCATCACGACGGCAATGGGCGTCATCAATTCGTGGTTCATGTTCCTGGAGACCTCACCTCTGACATCAACAGAGAGTTCATCACGCGCGCGTGGAAAGGGTGGTCGCCGACCTCAAGGGCAGGAAGCCGTCCTCCCGCTTCTTCCATGCGAGGGGCATCTGCTCCGCCGTGGTCTGCCTCCTGCTGCGCTATGACTGGGGGCCTTTAGGGCCCTGGCATTGGCGCAGCCCTGACAACGTCGAGGTTTTTGTCCCGACCGAGAAACACACGGTCAGGGATCTGGATTTTTCTGATTGGAGATCGGTTTCTTCGTTCGATTCAGCGGCCCATGCGGCCGGCAGCCGGCAATTTTTTCAGATGGATTCCCTCACATGGATTCCCTCACATGGATTCCCTCACATGGATTCCCTCAGAAGGTTTCTTAGGAGGCTCCGCAAGGATGGGGGCGACGCGTCTTCCGGAGCCCCCCAGGCGATTGCTACAGGCAACATTCTGGCCAGCCCAGAGGGCGCATGATATACATCCCGAGGTCGAGCCTCTCTGTCCCTGGTGTAAGTAGGCCCCCGAGCCCCCGAAGCACGCTCACTAGGAATGCCCTTGTAACCTAGAGTTAGAGTACTGTGCCCCGCAGGCTTAAATTGATCGTGATAGGGAAGAGTGCGAGAACCTACCCTGCTTTTGGCGTCGTGGTTTAATTCCAGCAAACTTGATCACCCCCTTGACGAACATCCTCCTCTGAACCTCGACCTCTCCTCGTGGGGCCTCTCGTGTTCCTCTCTTGTGGTGTTGGGAGCTGGCGATGCCAGCAGGGGGGTGGTCATTCTCCGGGCCCGCTGCTGAAGCGAGTAGGTTGGGCGGCCCGAATCTTCCAAGACGGGCCCCACAGCCACCGGAACAACATGCGATAATCAAAGTCCCGGGGAGGGCCTCTGGAGCTCAAGCAGTCAACCAGCAGGGGTGGGTTCCGTGCCTTCTTTGTCGTCCTCCAGGCGACGGCAACCTACGCCTTTTTTTGTCGCCCGCCAATATGTTACTGATATCACGTATGTTCTGATGAATTCCAACAAGCTCCGCCGAGGGGTTATGCCCGAATCTTATCATGCGGACTGGCTGGCGATCGAACGAGTGCTCAGAGACTGTGCTGGCGTTCAGGTTGATTTTTTCTAGTGAATCCCACCTGTCCGCTGAGGAAGCCCAACAGAAGTGTTTCTCTCTTGTGCACTGGCATGCGAATAAGCAGGTAGATGAGCTCGCTGGCCTGAGAGCGGAGGAGGTACAGCTCCCTTACGCTCACTCAGATCGCGGGCCCGGGCCTTGTCCAAGCTGTGCCGTTCAGGGTTCGGAGGCACTTTGTCGGCGTCATGCTGGATTCGGCTCGGCTCCGGGTCCCGGTGACAGGGTCTTGGGGGCGAGACCCAGAGTCCCCGCGGGCCCAGAAATGCTCCTAAGCTTGACGAAGCGTGATGGAGTCCGAGCATCAGATCTCGAATCCTCCCAGACCCTTTTGGCAATGCTCACATTGCGACGGACGCACTGTGAGGAAGTTTTGTCTTGATTTTCTTCGGACCCCGTGCCCTGACAAATTTGCGACCGCCCCCCCTCGGCCTTGTATGGGAGTGAAACCCACCTCTCCCGCAGGATCCAGACGGGGAGTTTGGGGGGGCGTGTTTGTTGGTGGAGTTTGTGGACGTTACTCTGTTTTTCGGGTTGTGGGAGAGGGGCCAGGTCGCCCGAGGGCAGCAAATCACATCCCGTGGACGATATCATATTGCGGCGTTTCTGATGGGCAAACTCCCCCAGCAGAGAGCGCGAGCCACCGAAGGGAGTGCCAGAGCAAGGTGATAGTTCTGACCCCTCGGTGTTCAGGCCTGCCAATTCAGGTGGTCGGTGCCTCTTGTTTCCCTCCCCCGCGCTCTCGCTCTCCTCCAGTCAAAAACTTGTTCGTCCTCCTCCTCGTCGTCCTCCCCCTCATCCTCCTCCTCCTCCCGGTCTGCCTCCTTCCCCTTCCTCCTCCTAGTCATCCTCCTTTTCCCCTTTCCTCTTGCTCCTGTTCCTTTTCTTTCTCGTCCTCCTCCCCCTCCCCTCCTCACCTTCTTCTGTTGCTGTTGCTGCTCCTCCTCCTCCTCCTCCTCCTCATTCCTCCCCCCCTTCTCCTCCTCCTCCTTTTCCTCCTCCTCGTCCTCCTC